TCTTTCTCTTTGACACCATGTCTGATATCCCACGTGATCTGTCAAATACTAATGCATGAAAATCCTAACCTCAAAAAAATCACCCGATATATATATGTATATATATATATATATAGTCCGGTGAGTAGTTTCGAAGTTAGATGCAAATTTGAAAAGGCCTTAAGAACGCTTGGAGGAACAAGGCCAGACTTTTTACATTTTATTTTTTATTCCCGTTGCTATGTTACTACGTTTAACATTATTTTTAACAAAATTAGTCAAGTAAACATTTTGACTAAAACTAAGTCTTAAAATACAGTTAAGAAATATGATATGTGTACCAATTTTTGGTTCAATAAGTTTAAAAGCTTTCTCAGAAAAAATTCTGGAAAATTCGTAAAAACTTGTTTTGGAATTCTAACTGTATATAACCCCTTAACAATTTTTATATTGGGCAGTCGAAAATGTATTTTTGTATTTTGTCAATAGATGTCGTTGCAGTTGTATATCTCCAGTACTATCAATCACAATGTAAAATATGGCATATTGGTAACACGAGATGTTAAGCTTCATTTACCCAAAAATTAGCGAAAATAATAAAAAAAATCGCAATATTTTGAAGTTTTTGTATAAGAAGGGAAGCATGCAACTAAATTTGTGAAGTTATTGAAAGGGCGATGCTGTATCAGTTCGTGTAGTACAACAATAGTTTGCTCGCTTTCATTCCGAAAATTTCGATGTGAAAGACTAACCTCGCTCTGGTCGACATATCGTTGAAAAAGTCAATGAAATTATAAGAAAGATTGACCAGACTGTCACATAATCAACCATGACATCGCTAAGTAACTTAACATTCATCATCAAACGATTTTGAATCGTTTAAATCGACCAAATTAACGTCTGGGATTCTTTGCTGAAATTAAATGAAATCGAACCATTTCTGAAGCGACTGGTAAGGAGATCAAAAGTGGATCAAATATGACAAAAATGTGCGATCATGGGCCAATGGTGGTGAAGCTCAACAAATGGTCGCAAAGGCAGGATTGATGCCTCGAAAGGCTATTTTGAGTGTTTGGTGGAATTGGAAAGGCATCAGCCACTATTAGCTTCTCCAGCGAGCTCAAACGAGTGATTTTACATTTGACTGAAAACAACTGATGAGATTAAAGAAAACAATCGAAAAAAACGACCAGAAATGATCAACAGAAAGGGCTTCGTTTTCCTTTAGGACTACGCTAGACCACATAAATCTTTAATGACTCGGCCAAAACTGGGGGGCTTAGCTGAGGAGTTTTGATGCATTCACCATATAGTCCTGACCTTGCACCATCGGACTACCATTTGTTTCGGTCATTACAGAACTTCTTTAATGGAGTAAAGTTGGCTTTAAGAGAAGCCTGTGAAAATCCCAGAAAAGTTTTACATTGATGCAATATTGTCTCTTGAGGAAAATTGAGAAAAAATGGTCGGCCAAAATAGTACATATTTGGTCCAGAAATACGAAAAGACTTTTTCGACTACCCAATATGTAAGACACCCAAAAATGTTGCCTTTGAATACAAAAACTCCAGAAAACCAGTTAAACATGGAGAAAGCAGTATCAGCTGTGTGACTGCTCTTCTGCCTCAGGATAAAGAAAAAGTATATGCTCCAGACTACAAAGTGCAAGCTCATGTGTATTTGTAGTGCGTGTAGATAATGACCCCTAACATTCCTCAAAACTTGCTAAGAGATGGTTTTCGGACCAAAAAATCTTCCCTAATCGCTTGACCTTTGAACCAGAGGTATGGAAAAAATTAAAATACGTGCTGTATGCCATTGATCCCTCAATTTGTGCCCATCTGGTTAATTCGATGCCTTGTGCTTTGCACATTATTTTTTCCAACGAAGTGCATATATAAAAGTCTCGTAAAATATATAACATATATTTTAAATATTTTTTTAATCTTATATTGCCTTCCGAAGAACTCCACCGCATGTTTTTCGGAAACCATAATTGGCAAGTAAAATAAGTGTGCATGAACCATTTTATAGTATTATATTTTTATTTGCAAGCAACACAATATTGTCCATAACTCGGAGCGTAATTTTTCCATTTACAACCAGTTTATTTTTAGCAGCTTTTCTGGTTTGTGGAATCTAATTTAATATCTATGGCTTCGCACTACAAATACACATCATTTTCT